TCAACGTTGATTCAATGTTTCTGGCTGACATTGATTCAATGTTGTTTCAATCATTCTGTGCTATCTGGGTACAAACAAGCTGTGAACTAAAAGATGCCGGCTTTTTTCTTTGCTTCGGATTTCAATATTCAGCGGCAGCTCGATGGAGCCATGAGGAATGAGTCGTTTTGTCACCATAGTGGAGCGAATGGAAAGCCTCGTTAGCCGCTTCGGAGGGTAAACACCGACTCAGGCAGCTGATGCCGCTGCTGCTCCCAACCAGGTGAGCAGTTTGTAGATATATTTGTCTGGTTTTTACTACATTTAAGGTTGCATACATACAGTCATGGAAGACATTTAAAACGCTAAAGTCTGCTGTATTTTTATTGCTCAAACACAACATGCGCATTTTCTGAAGACACTCAGTTGCACATTACAGTTAACTCAACATTGTACAGCATGTTACCTTCTTTTGTTTATCTTTGTGTGAATCTACATGCTTCGATTGTTTCTCATTTTGCTGTTGCATCTGAGTTTCCACCGTTGTGAGATAATAAAACATGTTATATGACAACCTATTATTGTAAAATGGCTAGATATCAGTTCTCTAATCAAATTGTTATGAATTATTAATTGTAGAATGAGCAATAAACCGGAAGAAAACAATAGTGGTATTTTATCCATGGCTGTATGCCTGCATAGGTCTAAAACTTACAAGTAATTACATTTTGTCTTTAATTTACATAACTATTCCAGTTATTTATAATTCTGTATGGCTGGATGGTTAAAAAAAAGTGTTTGTATGTATATATAAAGTAACATGTCTGTTTTAAATAATTCCTTATGTGTATGTAACTTCCACATTAGTAACTGTTATTTATCTACATTTATGTGCTATAAGCTATAACGTCTAATTACAGAAGGAGAGCAACATGGCTGACATGATGGAGAACCGTCAGAACACCTGGATCTCCTTCAGGAGGAAGCAGCTACCAGCAGAGATGGCAGAGCTCCATGGAGAATTGAGACAAACAAAAGAAAAGTAAAAGTTGTCTCTCAGTGAACAAAGACTCTTTATTTCTGCTCACTCCACACATTATTGTACTTACTGTCGTTTATATCAAGGTCCTAATACAATCCTCCCAAAACGTGAGGAGCTTTAGCCAGAGTGAAAATAACATAATATTATATAAATATTTAATTGAACTGAACATTGTAGATTACCAATGAAGCCATCCAAAACTGAATTCAGCAAACCAAACATTTTGACATTATTATCAGGACTGCTATTAAAAAAAACCCAAAATACAAAATCATGTTTGTTAGTTTCTAGTTTATACATCATCATTCTATCCACTCACTGTTTATCTGTCTTCCTGTAGAATCTTCAATGTAAGAAAGTGAGAAAGTGTTTCCAAAACCTGTAACCTTAATTAGTGATAATTAAGACTGAGTTTAAACTTTTAATTCTTAGTCTCTAAAATGTGAAAACATGGAACTAGAACCAGTCAGATTAGAAGGAATACAGCTTTATTTGTTCTCAGTATAATTTGGACATCAGGTGAATCATAATTAAACGTATTGAGAAGTTAAAAACAACAGATTGTTAATGCACTTCAACTCTGTAAGAACAGACACAATTTTTTATCAGAAATATTTCATCAGCATATTGAGCTCATGTGATTCCTGCTCCAGAAAGGTGAAGGTCTCTGGATATCCTGAAGGTAAACACCGACTGGCAGTCAGGAAGACGGACACTGATGAGACGTCCTACAACCCAAAGGCTGTGTGTAAAGTCTTTGGCGGTTGGCAAAGACTTTACACACAGCATTCAATTAAAAGTGAGATCCGTAATAAAAAAGGATCAGAAAGATATCCACATCATACGGGAGATGATGAATCAAGGAGAAAAAAGCACTGAAATGGTTGACTAATTTATGTGAATCTGACTTTGTTGCTTTTGTTCCTGTAAATTGAAATACGAGAGTAATTTCACCTCAGTGCTTTATNTAGATGTAGCTGCACACGACTTCATTTAAAAAGACCATCTCTGAATTACAAAAGGAGGAAGACACGTGGGATTGGTGGTTGGCAAAGACCAATCATTAAACATTAAACACAGCATCCAATTCAAAGTGAGATCCATAATAAAAAAGGATCAGAAAGATATCCACATCATACGGGAGATGATGAATCAAGGAGAAAAAAGCACTGAAATGGTTGACTAATTTATGTGAATCTGACTTTGTTGCTTTTGTTCCTGTAAATTGAAATACGAGAGTAATTTCACCTCAGTGCTTTATCACAGGGTCTGTTAAATATCAACTCCACATTAAACCAACTGATATCAAATCCTACGAAGGTCTTTTTGTCAATCTTAACCTTTTTGCATGCGAGGACTGAGGCAAACGTAGAGGACTGTGGAAAATGATACAAGTTTTACCTGTGTGGGGTCGGTTGGACCCCATTTCTGGACACAAGGGTTATTATAACTTCATTTTCTCTATATAAATATCTTTTAAAATCAAATCAAAATCAAACCAAATTTTATTTGTATAGCACCTTCCAGCATCAAGGCATTTGAAAGTGCTTTACATCATAAAATTACAAAGTCATAGAACACACAGTCATCAACATTACATTTTGCACTTCAGATTATTGATTACTGTTTCATGATTAGGTTTCAAAAGCAACTCTTAGCAGCTGAGTTTTTAGTCTAGATTTGTAAGGACTCAGTGTTTCAGCTGTTTTGCAGGGTTTTTTGTTCCAGATTAGAGGTGCAGTAATCAATATGACTGAAGATAAATGCATGTATGAGTTTCTCTAGATCTTGCTGAGACATTAGTCCTCTAATCTGGAGATGTTCTTCAGGTGTTAGAAGGCCGACTTTGTAACTGTCTTTATGTGGCTCTGAAGGTTCAGGTCAGAGTCCATCACTACTCCCAGGTTTCGGGCCTGATCGCTGGTTTTTAGTTGTAATAACTGAAGCTGTGTGTTGATTCTAGATTGTTCCTCTTTAGGTCCAAAGATAACTTTAGTTTTATTTCTGTTCAGCTGTAGAAAGTTTTGGCACATCCACACATTTATCTGTACTATCTGTTCAGTGATTGGATGAACAGATTGGATCCTTTACCTATCTTAGATTTTTATGTTTTAATAGGATCATTCATGACATCGCCAGTGGATTTCCTTTGAGTTCATTGATCCTAGTGTTGCTGCCGTGGAGCTAACAAGCAGTCCTTTTTTCTCGTAATGCCTAAGTGAGGTAAAAGGCTGAGTTGCTTGAGTAACATGCACTACCGTTTCTTTGCCAGCAGAGGTCAGCCTTGTCCAGATGAGCTTTCCATTGAATCGCGAACAAGAAGCAGCCGTTCCTCATGTAAGGTTGTCGGATATGCTTTGTAGTGGGCTCTTTGCACCTAAGGCGTTGACGTCACATCACCAGGAGCTAATGCGGCTCACTTTTT